CAAACATGAAATTTACCTTTTATTGGCAGCTATCAAATGTACACATCTTGTGTGAATTCCAGGCCCTCAGAGAGAAGCAAGACAGGTATCAACACCAATGCATATTAATGAAGTCTGACATAGGTTCAGGTGACATACAAGAATTTTGTTCAACTTCTCTGGGTTATATTCACAGAAATTCAAATGAATTCCGGGGTAACAAAAACAAACAAACAAACAAACAAAAAAGTATGCAGAACATAAAATATTAACATAGTCTGATGAGGGAAAAAAAAATAAAAATCACTCCTCTTCTAAGAAAATGTTAATGCAAATCATGAACTGCATTGGAGCAAAGACACATTTTGATGTTTTGGTTTGTACATGGTAGGATGCAGAGGAACTCTTTCTACTGACAGCAGATAGAGATCAAGATAGAGACCCTAATACAGAAGTTTTCTGATTGCTTCCTTGTCCACTAAAAATGAACTTGTCAAACAAAAACTGTTTGAAAAGGTGATGCCAACATGATCTAAATAGAACATCAAATTCAGGAAACACGGAAAAATTCTCATAGGGCTAGATACTTCAAGCACTTGAGAACTCTTCCTTTTGGACTTTGCAATTGTTAAAGGAAATTTCATAGAAGAATATGAACAAATACAAGCTTCTGAAATGTTTTGCATCTTCTTTCGGTTCATATACTAAACCATTGCCTGTGGGCTCCTGCTTTCCTGTGGAACTGGGGCAAATCTCACTTCAAGGGGAATTTGTTTTCTAATTCCAACAAACAGAATCATTAAAAATGTCACCTGACTAGTTAGGTACTGTAAAAGTAGACCAGACAGACTGATGATTTTACAACTCCAGTTACAGGTCAAATGCCTGGGTCTGAATCTAATCATTAAAAACCCATGCAGACACATTTGCAAGGTCTAGGACAAACTGCTCCCAGAAGCAACACCTCAAGGACTACAGGGGGCAAGGCTGGTACAGTTTGGTTTGGGAGCAGGCTGCATGTATTTCTGTATGTAGGTGCATGTATTTCTGGTTCTTCTTCTATTCTGGCTGCATATTTCAGCATCTATATGCCTAGGCACCCCATTTAGAAAAATGTGCTCATATGCATTGCCAGCAGAATTCAGTATAAAGTACACCAGTTACGGTTTCTTTCATTTGAAACCAAAGCTATGAGAAATGGAGAAATGTCTATTTTTCTTTACAGTCACACAGTGATTAGAGCACAACAAGTGGGCTCAGCTTCCTCGAGAGTCTAAAGAGGTCTACATTCATACTTCTCAGGAGGATACACGATGGCCCTAGTGAAGGTAGAAATGAGAAAGAGGGATGTCCACTCTTGCTATCAAAGGTAGGACAAAGTTGTGGTGGTTTTATCTTTTTAGGCATCTGATCTCCACCACAACTGCTCTCTCACCTCCCCTCCTCAGAAGAAGAGCTCCATCCCAGCTGGACCCAGTACATAAGCACAGAGAGAAATGAAAGTCATGAGAGCCCAGGAATGAATGCATGACGCTGTAGTCCCTGGTTAAGGAGGTGTGTTTGAAAATGGGGATTCTGATATTTAGTCTCTGCTCTGAATATTACCTATGCATTTTATCCAAAGACTGCTTAATGAAAGCATGAGGACAAGGATTCAAGTCCCAGAGAGTACCCTTTACACCAGACAGCAAGAACCAGTCTCTGCTTTCTAGCTCTCTCTGTAATCTCAAGATTCTCTCTCATGAATCTTACATTTCTGACTGCAAAGTGGCCAAAACATTTTATTGATAACATTCCCTGTAGGTTTACAATCTGATCATAAATGAGGTTGGAAGAAAGAAGCATAACTGCATCTTAAATTGTCCTGTGACATTCTTGTCCTCTTATCTGGAGTCCAACTAAATTAATTTATTGCTGCCAAAAGCTAAAAATTGGGGCGTGTTTTTGTTTTGTTTGTTTTGTTTGTTTGTTTGTTTGCTTTTTGTTTTCCTCAGCTGAGATTTTCTTCCAGCTCCAGTATAGTACATACTCAGGAAAATAGATTTAACTGGTGCCCTGCATGTACACAGTATCTTTCTCTGAGATGTTGTTGAAGCTGGGCTTTTATCTGTCAGTTTTCATCTATTATTTGGTAGTAGAGAGACATATGCAGGATTTTTTATATAAATTATTGATTTTGTATTGAGTGAAAGTCTTATAACTTCATATGTAAGTCTGAGACATCAAATAAGATAGAACTAGAACTTATAGCTTCCTCAGCAGATGTGCAATATCATGAAATGTATATTTAATTTTTCACATGTAACTTCAGCCAAATTCATTGCTGTTTTATGAGGTTTTATGATTATTATTTTGTTTGTAAAATGATGAAAAAGTATCATAACTTGTTGAAGCTGGGGTCTTCCCCTGAAAGCAAATAGCCATGAAATCTAAAATCAAACAGATTTGGGGACCTGCAATTAATAATTTTATCAAGCCTACTTATAAAGAAGAAAAGGAAAATAAATCTACTTGCTTTTTTGTTTTTCCTTTCTATCACAAACCTCGGTTACCCACACAGCAGTACCCTCAAGCTTCTGTTCTCAAAGACAGTTCTGATTCCTGTCTGTCTTTGTCAGATTCATCATAGCATACTTTGTGCGTTACTCACTGACAGTTCTTGGAAAAGGCACAAGAACACTTTTCTAAGCCAGGAAGGGTTTTCCTTGCTATCACCTATAGTTATTTTTTTCATTCCCCTGAAGTATTTTGAGTAAGGGTAGTATAACAATCTTGGAGCAAGAGCAATTTATATTGAATTAAACTGACTACAGGAAAATTCTTATTTCTTTGTAATGTCCCAGTGAACAGATAGATGACTTTTTTTTTTTTTTTTGACTAAATAGGATTGGTGAGATTTTTTTTAAGAGACTTGATTTTGTTAAAGTGCAGATACTCTACCAGCAAAACTTCTTGAAGGATCATATTATGCATAACTTTTATCTGGAAGCTTTCTGAAATCTAAGAACTTTTGGTGCTAGAGCTGTGCTCTGCCACAGGGCAACAAATAATAGATTATTCCTATGAAGGAAAAGAGTCTCAGTGGAGAAATCAATGAAATAGCTGACAATCCGGTGGTTAAGACAATTGCTTCAGTCATAGCAGAACCAGATGTATGCCTTTATCAACCCTTCTTTGACTCTTCTTGATCTTTCTCAAGGATTTTTCTCTATGTAATTGCTTCATGCTTCATTTTCATCCCACTGAGAAATAAAAATGAATTTTGAAACCTTCACAATTTCCAGGAAATAAATGTCTTGGTTTCAGACCCCTGCCTTTTTCCATCCTCTATGGGAAAACTATATTTATCTTTTCCCATTAATAATTGCACAAATACCAGAGAAGTCTTAGAACTACAGAATTAAAGCTGATACTTTTTGCATATATATATGTATATATATATATATACATTTTTTTTTTTTTCTGCTTCTCCCAAGTCACAGTTGCCTAAGATTTATTCTAGAGAAAAGGCAGTGAAAAAATAATGGTCTTTCCTTGAATAGAGATGTTGGGTGATATAGGACACATTGGTTTAAATGGTTTGCTGGATAGTGATCCAACCATACCTTATTAAAAGGAGAAATTTTTTGACTGTCAGAGGATTTGTTTCAGTTCTAGTCCCAGTATAGTTTAGAAAAGACTGTAAAGTAAGTGTTTTTAACTGATTTCCATATGAAGATAGTAAGATTTCAATCCTTCTTCCTTTTGCTCTAATTCATTATAACTTTTGCATGCCAGATTTTGAGGAACAAAGGGACTACTTCTATTCCAAGGGCCTCCTTGGAAAATGCTTTCTTGAGAAATATGGTAAGACTATCGGACAAAACTTTGTGAAATTAAAAAAAAAAAAAAAAAAGAAAAAAAATTTGAGAGAGCCAAGCATTCACCAGAAAGACCTACCCTGTCTGAATGTTTAAGCACTTCATGAGCTTTACTGCTACCAGGCCTAATTCACACACTCATGCGATGAAAACATTTGTCTTGCATGAATATTTTGTGTGTTTTTTTTTTTTCTCATACCTTACCTCTTTTCTCATACCTTACCCTGAGTCTGCCCCTTGAAAAATGTTCTAGGTCTCCAATTTTTATTTCTAAATAAAACTCATGGTGTGGAATTGTGGGAGCCATAATGGACTGTGTGATATCTCTCTGCTTTCTTCCTTAGCAGGAATACCTCATGGTAATTTCTACAGACAAACTGGAGCTTGTGGTTATTGAGAAGAGAAACCTGCTTTTATGCATCTCAATGATCTTTGATATTCATGACTTTTATGAAATGTATTTTATTTGTATGTATGCTACTATTGCAGCATTTTTACTGACTTTCAAAGTAAAAAGTCTGAGTTTTTTTTTTTTTTCCCCCCAACCTGTAAAATTTTCTAGAGAATTTGGCTTGGAATTAAAGCTTTACAGTAGTTTAAGAACCAAGCTTCTTTGAAACTGAAAAAACATTATGCCTGGGCCTCATCAACTTGAATATGCAGAGAAAAAAAATGTAGTAAATGATCCAGATGTCTAACCAATTTGAGAAAAAAAGTGATAATGAGAACTATTTTGGTGTCAAAGGAAACGTTGCAGTGTTGATGTGTCTTTCTATGAGGGACAAAGATTCAATCTAGTTAACAGGATATTACTCTGAGTCATTTTGACAAACGATTAGCTAAGATATATGAAATAATAGTAATAGCAAATTCATTAATAAACAGCAAAGAGCTATCATATTCCCCAGTTCCTTGCACTGTAGTTCCTAATTCTGAGTGCAGGTACAACAATGATATCTCCACTTTTAACCTGTGGTTATCCTGAATACTTTAACATTACTATGGCTCAGTCCCCTGTTTTCTTATATATGCACCATAATCACATATAAGGGTATTGGTTATTCTTATAAGCTTTAAGACTTACAAAAGAGACAGCCCTAACACCAAGGCAAAGTTAATAGCAAATCCGAGTTTGCACATATGTTGCCAGGGAAGACTTACCACTTAGGGCTCTTCAAAGAAGAAAGCAGGTATTTTCAAGGAAAGGACAAATGAAGCAGCAGTTCTAAGATTACAGTTTTTACATTAACTTTAAAAACAAATAAGAAAAAAAGAAAAGGAGCAACAAAATAAGCAGTCTTCTGAAACACTAGGGCACTTGAAAGTGAGCATTATTCAAAGGATCCTTTCTTCTGCCTGTGTTTGGCAGAGACACTGTGGAAACATATGACCTTTTACATACTCATAGGGAGAAAGATGAGTTCCTGCAAACAAAACAAAGGCATTCTCAATGAAATTAACAGGGGAGAGAGTCAACGCTGAGAAATTCCAGTCTAGTATTTGCTCATCTGGAAAAAATCTAAGCATTAGATTTTTTTTGATTAATAATATTTTTAATATACATTAGACAAATTAATATTTCTCATATTATAGGAAAGGACAGTTGTTTCTTAAAACAAGGTTGAATTCTACTTTACTGAAGTACGTGAAACAGGCCAAGTGGGACTGTGGGAATACTACACAACAATTTCCATGGACGTTCATCTGAATTTTTTAATGAAATCACATTACTGATATATGCTAGACCCTTTTGCTTTAGCTGTCAGTTGTGTGGCCAAATAAAAACCTGGTATAATTCAGATAATTCAGAGGTATTCCACTGGGATGGGATGGTTTACTTTGGGGTAATTTGGGGTTTATGAAAGAGGGACAAGCCAGAAAATTGGCTATTGAATGTTAAACTTCCTAAATGAGAACTTACATTCCGTATTTGTTTTTGATGACAAATTAGTCATACATATTATGTCTCCTTTCAGATTCAGTCGTTTTACTGGTTTGGCATATCTTGAACTTCATTTTCCTTATTATTATTAAAGAGATGATTTGCAACAGAATGAGTAGTTTATGTGATTCCCTTCTGTTAGTCACAAAGAATATACCTAGCCCTGGGCTCCAAGAAGATCTAGTCCTGTTCTCACTGCTCTGAGTCACTTGTAGTAGTACCTATACTTATCTGTGTGCTTTGATCCCTGAGAATGTGTCCTGTATGTGAGCTTTCTTTGATTCTGCTTGAATAAATATGTTTTAAAATCACTTTTCTCTTCCACTCTGACACACTAACCTGTGACCTAACACTGTTATACCAGTCAAAGCAAATCTCTGGAAAAATGGCATATCTCACTTTATCACTGTACTCTGAGTTGTGGCCCTGCTATTTCATCTATGAGTTCTGGAAAGCAATAGTGTTTTGTGTTGTTTTTATTTGTTTTTTCTTAGATTTATTTTAAGTTCCTGAGGACAGTTCATCAGTCTCAATGACACCGAACAGCTTTATAGTTAATATTTCATATGTGCAGAAACACTAAAGGACTGTGTGTACATTTGCTACAATTTCATCAGTATATAACTGATACATGCTGATACATAACGCATATATATAACAATATATGCATTTAACAAACCTAAGTTTGTATGTATAAACATGTAAAGAAAAAAAAATAAAAATACCCCCAAACACAGGCATTGTGAGTGATCATGCTAATATATTTCTCTCCTAGCTTTACACTTAGATTTGATGTTTAGAGAATTCATTTAAATGAATTCCATTCTAGCTGGGCTTTCAAAAGGGTCTGAATGTGTTAGGTAAAAATATTCACTAAAGTTCAGTGTCAAGAAACTTAACTTCCTCTGAAAAATGTGAACACATCTCTGTTACAGTGTTATATTACTAGTCCATTCTTGTTTAGTTGTCAGATGGAATTAAGTCTAGGGATAAGTGACAGTCTGCCTGTTCATTGAAGTTTTAATTTCCCAAGAATCCTATGTTTTATTTAACTTACCATAAAAATGTAAGAGCTATTAGACTACATAGTACACAAAGAAGGCAGCCCGCCTCTTACTGGTATGCAAGACACAGTGTTTCAAAGAAAACCACTGTAGAACATTTATCCAAATATATACTATCAAGAAATAAATCTGTCACCTTCTCTTCCTTTCAGGCAAAAAGTTTAGGCCCTGGGCTATACACAATGCCTTCACCTGTGGAAAGTCCTTAAAATAAGTGTCTACCAGGATCTAAAATTTTGATTCATGCGCAGAAAGATTTTCCAGACCTTGTTTTAAAATTCCATTTCTTCCTCTGCTCCATGTCTCTGCAAAAGGAAATCACATGTTCTGATTTCACTTTCCCCACACAAAGGAATGGAGAAGGGCCAGAACTGAGGTTCCTTCACTGACATTCTTATTTGAAACAACTTTTTTTTTTTTTTTTTTTTTTTTTTTTTTTTTTTTTTTTGTGTTATCTGATCACTGGAATTTTGTGGCTAATTTTGACTTACTTTGGTTTACAGATTTCAGTTATCTCCCTTCTTTCTCATATCAGAAAGTTTAATTCCCTGAGCTGTTATCTCCTCGAGAGCTTGCTGGCAATCTAAAACCATAACTGTAATAAAACATCTCTGTCTCTTGCACTTAAACACATGCACACACACACACATGAGCATGTGTCCTAGAAACCTAGTGCTTTATTTGTAGATCTGCAGTGTGCCAAAAGATTTGGGATTCGTTGAGTTCCAACATTTTTTTTTTTATTATTATTTTTTTCTTACCTGATTTTGGCACGCTTAAAACCCTGGAAAGTCACAATTTACTTTCCAAATAGTCATCCTGGACTGCTCAGAAGCAGAGCTGTACAACAGGATATCCAGCTATTGAGGGCTGCTGTCACAGGTGGCCAGCAGTGCAGCTGCAAAGAGCTTCCTGCCAGGAGGGCAGAGTGGGTCCACAGGAAGAAATGTTCCTTTCCTCTTCCAATCTGTTTTCAACTATAAAGGAAGGCCCAGCTCACACTCCAGCGGATCTGCCTACACAGCGGTTTTCTGTTGGAGCAAAATCTTGGTTAACATTTCTAACAATAACTGTCCAAAGGGGATCAGGCCCTTTACAGGGCTACAAACAGCAGAGAGCACTACCTTCAGCATAGAGCCATTCTTGAGAAACACCTCAGCTTGACTGTATCACTCTTGTACATAATTGTATCGCCATTTTAGAGTTCGCTTAAGAGCAGTCAGGGATGTGAAGAAAAAAAAATATAAGGGGGGGGGGGGAGGGAGAGAACAGCTACCTTTTTCTTGAGATACCACAAGTAGGCAATTCACATTTCCTCTTTTGTCCTGCAATCAACCATAAAAACACTTACAGGAGCAAAATTGCTTTCAATCAATTGTGCATTTTTATTAAAGAAGGAAGGAGTCAGATGTTTCCATCGATGAATTTTACAGACTGACGCTTCAAATCATGAACACAGAAAGCTAGGTTAAGGAAAACCAATAGGGAAAAAATAATAATAATAATAAAAAAAGAAATAAACAAGCAAAAGTTCACTGTGTCATGGAGTACCAAAGCTTATTTCCAATGACATCTTATGCTAAAAAAAAAACACCAGGAATGGAGTCTAGGGATGGGGCTGGTGAGTATTTGGAAAACTGTTTTAGTCATTTAAAATTTGTACCGAGACTAAAGGCAGTTGAAAAAAAGAGGTTTTCTCTGAGCAGACAAGAAGCTAAACATTTTCCTGGAATGTGCACAGGGATCATCTATCTAATGTGAAGTGTGAGTGTAAATGTATTCAGCACTGGGGCCTTAATCACAGAACTGCAGGATCTTTGCTATTGAAAGGGATCTCAGCAGGTCATCTGGTTTGATCTCCCTGCTCAAGCAGGGACACCCAGAGCTGCTTCCACAGAACCATGTCCAGATAGGATTTGACTATCTCCAAGGAGATAGTCACTACTTCTCTGGGCAACCTGTGACAGTGCTTGCTCACTCTCACAGTAAAGAAGTGCTCCCTGATGTTCAGAGAGAACCAACCTTGTTTCAGTCTGTGCCCATTGGCTCTTGTCCCGTCACTGGGCACCGCTGGAAACGTAATGCCTAAACCTAATCAGCAAGATCACAAGAAAAATTTAGACTGATGTCAGTAGGTTTTCTAGACTTGATCCTACAAACTCAAGTGGCTGAAACCAGCACCATGGACTTTCATCCATAAGTGGTTCTGTAGTCTTCTGTACTAATAAGACACTACTCCATTTCTGAGGCTCTGAAATTTATAGTGCAAAAAATTTTATTCTCTCAGATTAAATAGGTGAATTATCTATACCCCAAAATAGCTAATCTCAATCTGCTGGGGTTGTTAGAAAAGTAACACATAGTCATTATTTCTAAAAAGGTTGCAATGAAGACCAGTCATTCCTAGAGACAATCTGGGAAGGTGAAAAATATCTTAATGGATTTACTGAGCACAATAAATTTCTTTTATGATTAAAGAGTTCCCTCTGTCTGCATTTGCCACACTCATCATTGAAAATTACAAAATATGACTCCTGGTGAGGTTATGTGCCTAAAGCACTCAAGCAATTAAAAATTACACAAACATGGATGGCCTTACCTTATTATCCTGGAAACCTGTCTGATAAAAATACTAAAGAAATAAATTGTGAAACATTTACATCAGGTTGCTCTGATTTTTATTTATTTTGTTGTGTGTGTGTGTGTTGCATTTTTTTGTTTGTTTTTTTTTGTTTTGTTTTTATTTATTTCTTTTAACAGAAGGCATAAACATAAGCTGAATTACTTCACAAAAGCTGCATGAACACTATTAATTATTTGTCATTTGATAATAAAGTACATAAGAGAAATATTTAAGCATCAGTGAGGTAAAAATGCCCATTTAGCCAACAAATAGGAACCGCTACTATATTCTTTGATTCTACTGTAATTTTGGAAAACAGTGTTACATAATGATGATTATTTGCTAACTTATAAAACATTATCCCCCACTTTCTCTGAGAAATAAAGCAAAATTACTGTTTTTTCTTCTCACTCTGTAAATATTAGGTGCCTATCAGCTAGTCTTATCTTGTCATAAACAAATTAACACTGCAAATCTGAAGATTATCTGTTCACTTTCTCATCCTCACACCTTAGTTTTCAGACATTTTGATCCCAGGAAAATATACAGTATTGTGAAATCCCATGTTTTAGAGTAATGAGGCTCTAGATGATGCCTTGTAACTGAAAAAGTTTTGAAGACTCATTCAAAATATGCTGAAACTCAGTTTTGCAAATTCATGTGGAATATATGAGACAGAGCCTACCATGAAGACTGATGAAAGGATCTGAGGTTACCATGGGATCACCTTAATTTTCAGCATAGTACTTAAAAATGTTCTTCAATTCCATTGAAATCA